TATATATTCTATTGTATGCATATTACGTTCGTTCGAAACATCATCCTTCTCATTATTCATATTCACCCTATAGTATATATATCCCATAATATATATCCTATAGCATGTATATTACTTTCATTCTCAACATCTTCTTTTTTATCGCTCATATTCACCCTATCGGATATATATCATATACTATATATCCTATAGCATGCATATGACTCTCTTTGTGACATTCTCATTTCTCGTCATTCATATTCACCCTATAGAATATACATCCCATACTATATATTCTATAGCATGCATATGACATTCATTGTGACATCCACACTTCTCATCATTCATATTCACCCTATAGAATATACATCCCATACTATATATTCTATAGCATGCATATGACATTCATTGTAGCATTCACATTTCTCATCATTCATATTCACCAATTTCATTTCCCATACCACATCGGGCAGGCCGAGTTATTACCCCATACCACATCGGGCAGGTCGAGTTATTATTACCTCATACCACATCGGGCAGGTCGAGTTATTATTATCCCATACCACATCGGGCAGGTCAAGTTATTATTACCTCATACCACATCGGGCAGGTCGAGTTATTATTACCCCATACCACATCGGGCAGGTCGAATTATTATTACCCAATACCACATCGGGCAGGCCGAGTTATTATTACCCCATACCACATCGGGCAGGTCGAGTTCACAATAATCACTACCATTCCCGGTAGGACACAATAACAGTCCGCTACCACTCCGGGTAGGACACAATAACAGTCCGCTACCACTCCGGGTAGGACACAATAACAGTCCGCTACCACTCTGGGTAGGATACAATAACAGTCCGGTACCACTCCGGGTAGGACACAATAACAATCCGCTACCACTCCGGGTAGGACACAATAACAGTCCGCTACCACTCCGGGTAGGACACCAACAATAAACCACTACTTCTTCGGGTAGGGTAACAATAATAAACCACTACCTCTTCGGGTAGGGTAACAATAATAAACCACTACCTCTTCGGGTAGGGTAACAACAATAAAACTTACCAACACATTACCTCTTTCACATACCTCATTCACATCAGTGAGTATGAATTAGAGACACTTATCCCTTACCTTGGTAAGCGTTGGGGATCAGTTTCGAGTAATTTTAAAAGTTTCCTCCGTGATTTCCTCCAACCTTAGGATCTTTCCTCATTTCCACCAATAACAACAATGTCAGTCATTTATTCAAAATACACATAAATAACTAGTATTTCATCATCAAACATACAAGGGATTCACATATATTCAAGATTTCCAAAACTACTTCAATACAAGTTTCCAAACATTCAAACATACATGTTCATCTCATATAACAACATCAAAGCACAAACTCATCGTCCACATCTAACATTTCATCTCTTTCTCTTTATACCCATATTCTCATTTTGGGGTTTTTTGGGGTTTTCATGAATAACCCACAAAACCTTTCCATTCATCAAATATCAACTCTAAATCAAGAGTTTACAAGAGAAAAACAACATAAAACGAACCATAACTCTAAAGGGTGAGTTTCCATGGTTTCTCATGTATTGAAAATAGATCCAACATACCCAAAACAAGTTAGAGAGGAAGAAGAAGAGTTAGAAACAAGAGGTTTACCTCTTCTCAAGCTCTAAGATGAGTCCTAAGGCTCTTTGCTCTTGAAAAGATCTCTTCTCTCTCTTCTCTTCAAAGTTCTAACCCTAAAATGTGTTTGGGGTTTTTCAATTTTAAAGAGCAGTCGTCAGGTTCTCGCTCAAGCGAGCCCATTCTCGCTCAGGCGAGAAAATCCCGCCATTTTAAAATTTCAGATCTGACGCTCTCGCTCAAGCGAGAATCTCACAGTGTTAACAGCCCCAAATTGCCATTTCTCGCCCAGGCGAGACAACTCTGGCTCAGGCGAGAATCCTCCAGTATAGCCCAGGATTTCACCCTCCCAGGGGATCCTTTCTCGCTCAGGCGAGAATCTCTCGCTCAAGCGAGACTTCCAGGACTGATACTATAATTTTAAAGACTCAAATTTAGGATGTTACACCCCTTTCCTAGTTAACTTTGTTAGTGGTAAGGCTAACTTCAAAAACCCTTCGATAAACTTCCGATAATAACCCGCCAATCCTAGAAAGCTTCTGATCTCTGTGACTGACTTAGGTACTACTCATTCCATTACCGCTTCAACCTTAGAAGGATCCACTGTCACTCTCTATCTGGATATCACATGTCGAAGAAAGTTCACTGAGTCATGCCAAAAGTCACATTCTGACAATTTTGCATACAATTGGTTGTCCTTTAGAATTCCTAGAACAACTCTCAAATGCTCGGCATGTTCCTCTCGACTCTTAGAGTAGACCAAAATGTCATCAATAAATACCACTACGAATGAATCCAAGTATGGATGAAAAATCCGACTCATGTAGTCGGTAAATATTGTTGGGGCATTCTTCACTCCGAAGGGTATTACCAAATAATCAAAATGCCCATACCTCGTCCTGAAGGCAGTCTTAGGAATATCCTCAGACTTTACTCTAAGTTGATGATAACCCGGTCTGAGATCAATCTTAGAAAACATCATTGCTCCTCTTAACTGATGCATCAGGTCATCGATCCTAGGCAATGAATACTTGTTCTTAAATATGACCTTGTTCAGTTGTCTGTAGTCGGTGCGCAACCTCATACTCTCATATTTCTTCTTAACCAACAGCACTGGTGCACCCCATGGCGAAACACTGGGACGAATAAACTTCTTCGCCAACAAATCTTTAATCTGTTTTTTCAGCTCGGCCAGTTCTAAGGGTTCCATTCTATAAGGGGCTATAGAGATGGGTCCCGTCCCTGGTACTAAATCAATAGAGAATTCAACTTCTCGCATTGGAGGCAAATCCGGAATATCTCCCAGAAATACATTAGGGAATTCACATACTACCAGTATGTCATCAACTTTGGGTTTCTCATTAACCTCCAATGTTGCCAACAACATAAACACTACCCCCCCCCCCCCCCCTCTTCCTTAAGAGAAGCCCTGACTTCCTTAGTCGACATTGGCTACAAATATCTAGTCTGGTCATAATTCTCACACAAATCTCCGAACACTACAGTCTTATCAGCACAATTAAGCATCACTTGATTTGTTGACAACCAGTCCATCCCCAAAATTAGATATAACTGAGACAGCGGTAAGCAGATTAAATCTACGGTAAACGTCCTACCGTTTACCACTACTGGACACTAAGATACAAACACCGATACCACCACAGGTGCATCAGTAGGGGTGGATACGACTAAGTCGAAGGGCAACGACTCAGTCTGCAATCTCAGTCGTTCTACACATTCAATAGATATGAAGGAGTGTGTCCCTCCCGAATCAAAAAACATAAAAAGAGGAATACCTGCCACCATACAATAACCTTTGATCAGACCCTCAACATATGATGCCTCTGCACCACTCATGGTAAACACCCTGCCAATGTTCCTAGGCCTTCCCGCATTCACGCTATTCACCCGCTGGTCTAGTTTGGGGCAAAACTTCTTCGTGTGTCTCGGTTCCTTACAGTGGAAGCAACCATTCCCAGATCTAGGGCAGATATTTCCCATATGCCTACGCCCACACTTGTTGCATAGAGGGAAAGAGTCGTGTTGAGGCCCTCCCACATTAGTGGGGTTTCTAGGTCCTGGGGAAAATGTCCACGGTAACCTGTGGGTGGAGCATAGGGTTTCCGGTTATTACCAAACATCCTTCCCTTTCCCTTACCCTTGTCCATAGCATGGCTCCGCTGAGGTCCGACATTCCGAGGAGGGTTGATTCTGTTTGTCGCCACCTCTTCGGCCTTCATATCGTCCTCATACATCCTACACTTGTTGACCAAGGTAGGAAAATCAGAAATCTCCTGATGTCCAAACATCATCTTCAACTTGGGCTTCAAGCCCGATTCAAACTTAGTACATTTGGACCGCTCGTCCACCTCCAACTCATAATAAGAACAGTATGGGGCCAACTTTTCAAACTTGGTCGCATACTCTCCCACTAATAGATTCCCTTGCTCTAACCGTAGGTACTCCATCTCCTTCTTCCTCTTCAAATCAGCGGGGAAGTATTTATGGAGAAACTTCCCTTTGAAGGCTTCCCATGTGATGGCTTGTCCTTCTGTTTCCATCTGCCTCCGAGCATACTCCCACCAGTTCTCAGCATCTTTCACCAGTACATAAGAAGCATATGTCACCTTCTGAGCATCAGAACAACCCATAACTCTGAATATCCGCTCCAAGCTTTGGACCCACTCATTGGCCGCAACGGGAGCGAACTCGCCTTCGAATTGGGTGGGATTGCGCCTATAAAACTCATCCAATCCCCGGTACTCTACGGGTCCTTGAGGTGCGAGGGGGTGTGTGTTTGGGCTTGGTGCCGCATTCTAGTTCAGATGCTACAGGTTCTCATTCATGTTTTGCAGCGCGGCTGCTATCTGAGCCAATATATCATTCTGACCTGATCCTCGTCCTCGTCCTCTTCCAGCCATGTTAACCTATACTCATGCATTTATCAGTACATAAAGTCTCAACCAGACAGGTCATCACATATTCACATAAGTCAAGTAATAAATTCATACATGTTATACAAAGAAGCTTGTAAGGTCATACCATAGGCCGTACGATTAACTATTGCTCTAATACCATATTGTAAGTACCCTAATTATACCCTAAATTTTTTGTGTTCATTTTAATCCATTTATTAAGGGTTTCCCAATTATGTCATACATAAATTCCCTTAAACTTTAACTCATCCATTTCTTTTTATTATTTAAAACCCTAAACATGCATTTTTAGTTTCATATATTGACTACGTTCAATTGCAGAAAAACATAATTTGCATTCATAACATAATTAAGGGTCATCACAAGTTCATGGGGTTACAAAATTAATGTACCCATAGTTAAGTTAATAGATACAATACATGTGCATATCGCAAAACAGCACATCAATATCTCTAATACAACAATAGTCAGAAAACTAAACTACAACATCGTCTGGATCTACTAGTCTTTAGCTTTATCTGTACACCGATTATCACAAATAAAACCAACAAGAAATATAAGGGAGTAAGACATAAAATTCATGATAATCAGTGTTTAAAAATCAGTATAAATTAATATTTCAGACATATATAAATCTAAGGTTAACATAAATCATTGATCAAACCAAATTAAACGTCATTCTACATTTCCTTAACCACATTAGATATATTTTATTTCAATACCACATCGGACAAGTCATACATCGACATAAGGCCAATACCACGTCGGGAAAGTCATACATTGCCATAAAGGGCAATATCACATCGAGCAAGTCATACATTACCATAAAGGCCAATACCACGTTGGGCAAGTCATACATTGTCATAAAGGCCAATACCACGTTGGGCAAGTCATACATTGCCATAAAGGCCAATACCACGGTTGGCAAGTCATACATTGACTCGTCATTTCCCACCACAGGAGAATATCATATTATATTTTCACTTCATATACATACAATGCTTATCCCTTACCTTGGTGTGCGTTGGTGGTGGTGTTGGGAAACTTGCTAGTTTCACCTTCACTTCTTCCAACCTTAGGATCTTTCCTCATTCACACACACACAACAACCATAATCAATGACATATTCATATTATCACATAAACAACTTAATACCACATATTTATTCATAGAATACTTCATATTTTGATGTTTTCTAAAACCATTTCCATTATGAGTTTCAAGCATGTAAAACATACATATTCATTTCTTTTTAACATTAGAATCCATAAACCACATTTTTGACCTAACATTTCCCCCTTTCAACATCATTTTCGTTTTGGGTTTTGGGGTTTTCTTGAATAAACCACTAATCATCCCCATTTTCGAATACAAACTCTAAACCTTGATTTTTTTCAAAGGAAAAGATAGATAAAAGTAAACTACAACTCAAAAGAGAGAGAGTTACATGATTTCCCATACCAAGAGAAGAGACCGAAATGCCCATATTGAGTTTCAAAGTGAGAATGAGTGTTAAAATCAAGAGGTTTACCTCTTCTCTAGCTTCTCTAAGCCTCTACACGAGCTATTGCCAAGAAAATCGCATCCTCTTCTCTTTTCTCCCAAAAACCTCCCATATTTTCGTGTTTGGGGCTCTATTTTAGGGTTTAGGCTTTTAGATTCTCGCCTAGACGAGAATACGTCGCCCAGGCGAGAAAGCCCCGCCTTTTAAAGTTTCAAACTCTGGTGCTCTCGCTCAAGCGGGAATTCGATAGCTTCCAGAGTACCTCTCTCGCCCAGGCAAGCCAACTCTCGCTCAAGCGAGAAATCAACAGCCTCTATAGTGCCTCTCTCGCCCAGGCGAGCCAACTCTCGCTCAGGCGAGAATTCCAGGGGAAATCCTGGGAGAAATGCTGACACCCTCGCTTGGGCGAGACTCCTCTCGCTCATGCGAGAATCCTTCAGTATACCCTAGATTTTTTACTTTTACCTTACTTTAGGAAAATGAAACTTAGGGTGTTACACGTAACGTGTAGTCTGCATGTTATAAATGTGAAATACACTAATTTGTGTTAGATATTGTAATTTGTATATTGTTATAGATGAAGCGAATAATTAGGGTGTAATAACTGAAGTAAATATATCATGTTTAGAACGTAATAAGAATGTGTGTCAAAACATTCTTATTTTTTTAATAATAATTGCATAAATTAATATATATGATAATTCGAGTAATGATTTTTCTTTGGTATGACGAAATTGAGAAATAATTATATTTTTAATATAGTTGTTATTTTAGAGTATTGTTTAAAACATTAACTATGATTTTTCTTATTCTAGAACATTGTTATTGAATATTGAAGTCATAATGTCCCAACATTAAAATTCCTATAGATATGAAATGATAAAAATTATACTTTTTGTGACTAAAAAACAAAATAATAAAGTGTAATATTTTTTGTATTGTATCTACTTTATATTATAATTTTATGTATTAATTGTACTTTAAATTAAAAAAAAATGTCTTTATTAGAATTGTCTAACTTACAATTAATGGGTGGAGAGTGTTTACTTATGATTATATGATTGTTTTGTAGAATTAGAAAATGGCAAGGGCAAAATAGAAAAGTATAAATTATATCATAGTAGTGGTTACACCATATTTTGACTTTATATATAGTACAACTAGTAAGTTACCCGTGCATTCGCACGAGACAGTACTTTTTTGTCGTATGATTAAGAGCACGGATATTATATGAGCATTCATATAGTTAAGAATACATATGTTAATCGTACATTCGCATGATTAAAAAAATATATGTTCCTCATGCATTTGTATTTTTAAGAATACATGTGAACCATGCATTCGCATGGTTAAAAACACACATGTTACTCTTACATTCTCATTGCTATGAACATGTTACATATGCATTCATTTAGTTAAAACACACATGTTAACCGTACATTCACATTGTTAAGAACACAAGTGTTACCTGTGTATTTGCCTATTCAAACACATGATGAAAATAAATGATACTTTCAAATTTGAATATTCTAACGAAAATAAGAAATCGAAACATGATACTGTAAAAGTTGTAGAAAATGAAACAATTTTTTCAATTTCAAATATGATTTTTTTTTAAAATGAAAATAAGGAAATCAAATCTTGATACTATATGAGTCTTTTTACTAAAAAAATATTTAAAAGTTATAAAAAACTTCAATTTCGAATTTGATTTTTTTAATTATAGTAGGGAATAATTAAAATTCAATTGGTAAAGTATCACAAAGCTTTGATGAGGTGAAAAGTAGATAGATTAATGCAAATATTGAATGAGGTAAAACTGTATAGTTTTTTTCAATTTAAATAAAGTACATTAATTCTTATAGTATTAGTAAAGGTTAAATAAAGTAGATAGATTAATGCAAATATTGAATGACGTAAAATGATATGATTTTTTTCAATCTAATTAGTTGGATGATAAAATCTTATTAGCGATTTAGAATTTGTTAGATGTATATAATTGAATATAATTAATAAAGGTGGGAAGGTTGCAGAAACAAATTTGTTTAGTCTTATTGAGTTATTGACGAATCAACTACTCAAATTAGATTGTATATTGGTTAATAGAGTATATGTTAAATTGGAGAGATCCAGTGACCATATTTACACATTTAAGTGAGAAAAAATGGAAAACATGAGTATCAAATATATTTGTTGCTTCTAATTTTCAATTCCAATGATAAAAAGTTTTTCCAACTTCTTTTTCTTCTACAAAAATTATTTATGAACATTTGTGTCCATGAAAAAATAGGTGGAAAATAAGAGGAAGAATGAATTGAATCATTAATAGGAGTAGATTGTATTTTTAATTAGCATTTAAATTATTAAAATATAAAATGTATAAAAAGTGAGGATGTAGTGTAGTTATGTGCATAATAATAGGATAGAACACTTTTAGAGGGAAAAAAAGTGATGAGGAAATGACATGTGGCTAGGAGGACATTCTTTTCTTTTATAGTAATAGATATATATATATAGTATAGATAATAAAATAATAATGAGACTCCACACGTTGCACTAATTCAAATGTTAGTATTGATAACAATTTCCACTTTTGATGTTTTTTGTACATTGCAAACATTGGTTTATCGTAGCAAAAATAGGATTGGTTGGGACAAGTTGGGTTGATCAAACCAAATTTTAGATTTATTTTTGTACTAATTCAAATGGTAGTGTTGATCAAGCCAAATTTTGGATCACAAAATGTTCTTTACTTGAAAAATTCAAAGACATACGTGTCTAATTAGGATGAGATAAAATAAGAGTAAGCTTAGGCTGGCTTGGGCCAAAAATTACAAGCTTTTAATTTTATTTATTTATCTTTTAGATGAGAATAACAAGCTTTAAAATAATTTTAAAGATCAAGCAAATGTACCAAGGTTAATGTCATTTTATATAATAATGCATATAGATATTCATGACATATAACAACCAACTAGAAACATGATTTGCATAACATGTGAAGAAAGTAGTATGTATTTACAAAAAAAAAATAGAGAAAGTGAAGTAAAGAAGTTAGAATCCAAGGGTATTTTTGCTATTCAAGTTGGATAATTCAATATGAAAAATGAGATCATAAAAGTATTAATACATATAATACTTGTAGCATTGATTAATGAGTTTTTGAAAACTAACCCGTCCATTTTAAGTTTTGATGTCTTTTGAGTAGAGACGAGTCTTTGGATCAGGCTGATAATGCTTATCCTTTGCTTACCATAGATCATGTCCATGTTATTTGAGATGCACTTTTTGACTCTGTCATTATCAATTTGGACCCAATTTTTTTTCCAATAACCCTAAATACTCATCCTCATTTCTCACTAATCTTCATACTCTCTCACCCACAGTCCTCACTCTGTCGAGATACCTTTTACTCTTTCCCCTTTCTTAATATTCTCTCAAACCCTATAACCTCATACTTTCTCAACCTCATACCTTACTCTCACTCATCTTCTTCTTCAAGTCAGAAGTAAGACATAATTAACAAAAACTAACTCTAACAACAAAAATTAAAAAGTTTGCATCATAAGGAATGAGATGATGATTGAGAGTTCGAGGTTACCGAAAAAGAGTAGAGGATATTATGGGAAAATGAGAATTATGGACTGAAAGAGTACGATGATGGAGAGAAATAAGGAGGAAATATTTCAAGGTTATTGAAATTTCTAAGCCGAAGTTAATAAGGACAAGATCGAAAAATGCGCTTGACATGTTATTTTGGCATGAGTGGGCTAAAAAGCCCAATTGAGTCCACTCCCAAACATAGACCCATAGATTATTATTACATCAAATTAAGACAAATGAGCCTCTCTCCAAATTCAAATCTAAAACCCTCCCGCGACAGAAAAAAAAATAACAAAGAAGCAAACGGATCTATCTTCTCTTCAATTCCCATTCATTTCATTTCATTCTCTGTTTCCAATTAGATCGAAAAGAATGTCTAATCGCCACGAGAAAGAAAAAGGTGTGAACGTTCAGGTCCTTCTTCGTTGCAGGTATTTCAATTTCCAATTTCAACAATGGTTTTTTCTTTTAATTTCACTCAGTGAATCTGAAATTTGATTATAATTTTTATTTCTTCAGGCCTTTTAGTGATGAAGAATTGCGAACCAACGCGCCTAAGGTTTTGACATGCAATGAGTATATCAGAGAAGTAGCCGTTTCTCAGAACATCGCTGGAAAACACATCGACAGAGTTTTCACTTTCGATAAGGTTGTTTTTTCCACATTGTTGATTTTATACGAGTTTTATTTGAATTATTAAAGCATGAGCTTTTTTTTTTAACTTTAATAAACTGGTAAAATGAAAATTCATTTAATAATCATGTTCGGTAAGGTCCATTTGCGAGTAAGGCATCCGAGCCATCTCATTTGTGTATTTCATGGTTCTGAAACCTCAGTTTCCGTTCCGTCCTCGAAAAAACAACTCGCAAATGGATCATAAGAATCTATGACAGTGAAAATTGTCCTTGATAGTAACTAATGTGTCCCGACAATTTCTCTCGAAGGAGACTAATTTGACTCACGTTTGAGATTCTCCGGGATCAAGTTTAGGTTTTTCAGTGGAGTAGTGGACTAAATTTGGGGCGCAGTTTTTATCTTGGGGAAAAAATTGGGTATTCGCTTTTTTTAAAATATGAAATTTGGAGTGACTCTACATTTTATGATCAATTAGTTGCAGAAATGTTAGAGTGGTTCAATGACAATCGATTTTATATTCTGCAGGTTTTTGGTCCTAATGCACAGCAAAAAGATCTATATGAACAAGCTGTCGTGCCGATAGTGAATGAGGTTCTAGAGGGATTTAACTGTACGATATTTGCATATGGTCAAACTGGTACCGGGAAAACATACACAATGGAAGGTGAATGCAAACGGGCAAAGGTATAAGTTGGTGTCTATTTCTTAGTTGTTAATAAAAGTGTTGAATGTGCAGTAATCGATAATGATTGTTGATAAGTTGATTTGACTATTCCAGAGTAGGCTCAATGGAGAGTTGCCTGTTGAAGCAGGAGTCATACCTAGGGCTGTTAAACAGATATTTGATACTCTTGAAGGCCAGAATGCCGAATATAGTGTGAAAGTCACCTTCTTAGAGTTGTATAATGAGGAGATTACTGATTTGCTTGCCCCGGAAGAAATTTCGAAAGGTGCTTTGGAGGATAAGCAGAAGAAGCAGCTGCCTCTTATGGAGGATGGTAAAGGTGGTGTTCTTGTTAGGGGTTTGGAGGAAGAAATTGTGACAAGTGCAAGTGAAATTTTTACTCTGCTGGAGAGAGGGTCTGCCAAAAGGCGTACTGCAGAAACATTATTGAACAAGCAATCAAGGTGATTGTTGCTTTCTTGGTTTTGTTTTTGACAGATGGTCAAGATTTGATGTTTTACTAATATTTGTTGGCTGTTTCAGTCGGTCACATTCTTTGTTTTCCATTACAATTCACATCAAGGAAACAACCCCAGAAGGTGAAGAACTTATAAAATGTGGCAAACTGAATTTAGTAGATCTAGCCGGATCAGAAAACATATCTCGTTCTGGTGCTAGAGAGGTAATACACTTGAGCATACATTTTATTTGGCATATACTGCTGGAATTGCCTAATGAATAAAAGGTTCAGTTTGATAAGTTGGATTTTTTACCAGGGCCGTGCAAGAGAAGCAGGAGAAATTAATAAAAGTTTGCTCACTTTAGGGCGAGTGATCTGCGCACTTGTGGAGCACCTTGGCCACATCCCATACAGGTTCCCCCCGGTTCAGTGGCCATATAATGTTTTGTTCTTTAATGCTTTCTTTGGTATGGTAGAGAAAGGAGAGAAAGAGAATGAGAGGAGAGAAGTTGAGGAGAAATGAAGTCATTCTCTCGTTTGGTTGAGGGATGAGTTTAAAGGGAGAGAAAGAAAAAGCAGTGGGGCCCACCATATATATTTCTCTTCCCAAGTGGGAAGAAAATGAGAGGAGGAGATGAACCAAGATCTATTGTCTCAAACTGTGTCTCAAATCATATCCCATAACAATGATATTGAAGCATAAAAATAAAAAATAATTAATATTATAATTTTTTTAATTGACATGAATGTTTTCATTAATCCGGAACATGATTTGAAACATAATTTTGGACGATAAATCATTCTTCAGGGAAGAGTGAGAAAGAAATACTCATTTTTTTCTCTTCTTTTTTTCATACAACCAAACAACACTGAAATCTACTCTATTTCTCATCTCTTTCTCATATCTTTCTCTCTTTTCACTTTCTCTGTTACATATTTCTCTCTTCTTATTTTCTTCCTACAACCAAACGAAGCCTAATAGTCTTTGTTTAGGGGGTATGCATGTGTGCATAGCTACTTTTTGTTTGCATTTTTCTTGTTTGCTTACAAATCCATTTGAATTTAGGGATAGCAAGTTGACCCGTTTACTGCGTGATTCACTTGGTGGGAGGACAAAGACATGTATCATAGCAACTGTTTCTCCAGCAGTTCATTGCTTAGAGGAGACCTTGAGCACATTGGATTATGCACACAGGGCGAAGAACATAAAAAACAAGCCAGAGGTTTGTGACCGTTTCACATTGTTTGACTCTCTTGAGAGGTTTATTATACTGTGCATAAGTATTTTAATGTGTTATAAATATAGTACTTTTCCAATGATTATTTGATTCATGTATTTTAGAACATTTTTTTCGGTACAATCTTATTACGTAACGTTACTAACATGTATTGCATAAACATGTACATGTGAGCTTTTAAAATTCTCTTGAATAATGATACTGACTACAGGATCTGCGGAGTATGTAGAAAATTTCCCCGATTTATTATGGTGACATATGCTGTCTCATTTTCTGATGATAAGATTGCGATTGTTTTGCCTCAACTATATTTTTCTTTTCATTTATTTTTTGATTTTCCTAGGTTAACCAAAAAATGATGAAATCAACTCTTATCAAGGATCTTTATGGTGAAATCGAACGCCTTAAGGCAGGTTGGTTGCTTTGTCTTTCTTGTGGTTGCCAAAGTAAAAATTATTTAAGCTGTTTAGCTTTTTTTTACTCTCTAAGATGCATAGATGTTTGAGGTTGATTAAATTTGTGATTCTAACCAGAGGTTTACGCTGCACGTGAGAAAGTTGGCGTCTATATACCAAAAGAGAGATACCTGCAGGAGGAGAATGAGAGGAAGGTAGGTTGTCTTTTCTATCTATTATGTTTGTTGCTTTTGTTTTTACAAAACAATTATTTTGGCATGTGTTCCATATAATTTTTGTCAATTGTTACACTTTTTAGTGTAACTTACCTTTGAGCCTTTCTTTTGATACATTTTTTCTTTCTTTTTCTTTTTTATTAGGCAATGGCAGATCAGATTGAGCAGATGGGGATCACATTAGAAACTCATCGGAAGGTTTCTTTTCTGGACAAATGACAATTAAAGTAGAAGACATTTTGCCCTTGTTCTTGTTCCTTATGCTCTACTTGTTTCTTGTTCTGTATGTTTCAACCAGCACATTGACGATTTGCAAAGAAAATACGTTGACCAGGTTCGACAGTGTTCAGATTTGAGCACAAAACTTGATGACACTGAGGTCAGTTATCTAAGCAGCTAATCTTTTTATTGAGAGTTTCTATTTCTATGTATTCTTATCAAAACACAAAAAACGTGACAGAAAAATTTGAGCAAGACCAGCAAATTGCTTGCCGACAAAGAGGAAGAGTTAAGGAAATGCTGGTTTAGCTTGAAAGAGAAAGATTTTATCATATCTGAGCAGAGAAAAGCAGGTAGCAAAATTTTATATTTTTATTGTTTTTTCTTAGTTATTAATTTTATGCTAATTTTATTTGTTTGCAATAGAAAATGCCTTAACTCATCAAGCATGCATTTTACGAGCTGATTTGGAGAAAGCTCTCCAGGATAATGCTTCATTGTTTTTGAAAATTGGTAAGTGATTTTATTATTTCCACTTCTTTGATTGATGTAGATTTATTTAATAACTTTCTAATATCTCTAATGTGAAATTTTATAGGTAGAGAAGATAAACTAAATTCTTGTAACAGAGCTGTTGTGGATAATTTTCAAATAGAGATCGCTCAGCAAGTTGGTTCTCTCTGCAACACTGTGGCGACATCATTGTCTCGGCAGCATGATCACCTCGACTGTGTGGAGAATCTCTGTCATTCATTTTTAGGCATTCATGATAAGGTTGGTAAATCAATATCTATTTCCACTTTTGTTTACTAGTGAGAATGTTATGGTTTTGCTCAATTTTCTTGATCGCTTTTTCTATTCGTCTGTATTCTGTTTATATTGTCTTCTTCATTTTTTGTTCATGGTTTACATTTCTCGTTTTATTCTTTAACTGTCTTTCATCTTTTGATTGCCCGTAGGCAGCTGTTGATTTGAAAAAGAAAGTTACAACTTTGAGAACTTTGTATATATCCCATATGGAAGCATTGCAAAATGTTGTCCGATTGCATAAGGCAGGCTCTGATACTACATTTGAAGAAATATCAACTCTTATATCATCCAATGGGCACTCTATCGGAGAAGTATGTTGCAACTGTTCAAATTACTTACTTATGCTTGTTTGACTATGTGTGAATGTATTTTTCATGTTCAACAGAACACTAATAGAGAATTATGTTTTCTTGGCGAGTCAGCTTCTTGCATCTGAGGCTGCTGAAGCAGGCTCAATATTTGAT